CTTCCTCCTCTTTCTCATCTTCTTCTCCTTTGAATCTGAGAGTGTGAGAGGTTATCAATAGGGATTCAAGCTGGGGTTGTGACAGGCACATTGCCCAGGATCTGATTCGACATTTTTGGGACAGACATTGTTTGGACATTCGGCAAGAGACTATTCTGGACTTCGCCATTGCGAGCTTGGTCTACTCTCTCGCCACCTCCCTCCTTCGTCTGTCTCTCCCCCATCTCTCATCCGTGGTTCCTCCCCATGTGTGTGTACGCAGGAGGGACCTTTCTTCCATGATTGCGGTCCCTCCTCTCTCTCTCTCATGTGTGATGTGTGATGGATGTCGGGTCAGTCCAGATCAGATCAGATCTTCTCTTTAAAGTCTTGCGCCGCGCTATTTTGCGCCATCTTGTATGTATCGGAATGTACATTGCTTGTTGATGCTGCGCTGGACTTGCATTGTCCATTTCAGTCCTTTTCATTACACTGTGGATCCTTGGTCTACTGCGCATTGCTTCTCTGAGCATGCGTCAGTTTCCATATAGGAAAGTGAGCATTGAGCATCGCTGGGCAGGTCATTCTGGCCTAGCCAGGCAATGCGGCCACGCTGCTGCGTTGCTCCTTCGTGATCTGCACGAAGCTGCCGGCTCAGCCCGGCTGGGTCGCGCACACGGGCGCTGAGGTGTGAGGTGCACTGCTGGGCAGTGCGAGCACGGCGGCCATAGTCGGGCTGCTGGGCAGTGGGCGCAGGTCTGGATGGCGACGGTGGTCTTTGGGTGTTGAGAATGCACACTGTGGGAAGTCTGGGTTGATGAGGAGAGACGAGATACATACCTGGTGCATGAGGGAGGTCAGCTATGGTGTTGACGTCATGTACATTGGTCTTCAAGGTTGAAGTGAGCCTGTTGCATGAACGCAGGTGTAGTCGGATAGGCCGGTAGTGTAGGTTGGGCGCTGGGCGCCAAACAGAGTAGGAGCGACATTGGATACGGTGCTGGTGTGGCCTTAGGACTTGGACATTGGCTTGTTAGTTCATTGTATTGCTCTTATCTAGATGGAATCTCAATGCATTTGCACTCTCTGCTCGTACTTGACTACTCAGACATCTGTGTGATTTCGCAACTTGGTTTTCTGTATATCGCTCTTGCTCATATTCCTTGCAATTTGGTATCGGAGCTGGTTCGGATATCACCATTTTGGCGCTGGTGTCTTGGTTACTTAGTGCATGGACGAACCTTCTATGCAGTGAGGATACCTTGGCGCTAGTGTGATTAGCCCCACCCAGGTAGAGGGGTGACGGGCTGGAAGGCTGTGGCGATAGCTGGATAGCTATGACGACGGCGGATGTGTGTGGAATTATGAGAGCATGCTGACATGGCATTTTGGCTGACTCAGAGGTGGCACGGGATTGTGTAATTTGTGTTGTTTGTGGTACCGAGGCTATGGCTGGTCATCAAAATGCACGTTGGCTCAATTGGTGAGAAATTTGTTGTCCGGGGCAGCTATCCCCAGGTACGTTGTTCCATTACCTTATCTTCCCTCTCAATCTCTTCTTACCGTGAGGAAGTGAGTCCAACCTTGAGTGTCCTCTCTTTTGTGTAAGTAGTCGTGAGCGCCCTACCTTGAGAGACGACATTCTTCTCGGTGGCGCATCTGGCAGGAGAGGGCAGTGCCTCTGAAGGGCCCTGGTCGAAGCACGGGTCACGGTCACCATGCCAACCCATGGGAGTAGACTAGTAGTACACACAGGCCGTGCCGCTTTGTCCTTTAAGGCTCTTTGCTGCGCTGATAGAGGGATTTGCGGACTGACCAGTCCTATGCAGACGCTTACCAGACCGTCCATAAATATGGTCTGTCTGAGAAAGAGAAGGCGCCACCCACCCCCCTCATTTTGTCTTACTGCCTTCGCATATTTGGCTGCTTTCGACTTTACGGCCCTTTAAATAGGTATCCTCACCACAAATGGACACATGAGTGGTTTTACCCCGCCGCGTGGGAAGATCGCCTCCCTCGTTTTGCTTTTTGCTCATAGTGTGTCGACGCTTTTTAGTCGGAGTAGCACGAGTATGACGTGCCGTGCTCGTGCGAAACGCATGTGACACACACATGCTACACACACACACACACACACTCGCACACACACACACACACACACACACACACACACACA